CCCCCCCTTTACCCACACACACACACACTCACTCTCCCTCTTTACTGATGGTTTGTTGGCTCATAGACATTTTCATGACTGTACTTCTCCCTTGCTTTGTCAGGTTCCTAATGGTCTAGTGAGAGATGTGATGAGCTTCTGGACTGACGTGGTGAAGTGCCAACCTGAAGATAGCTCAGAACACCCTAAGATGAAGGTGAGGATAGTAATTGATGTCTGTGGGATAGCTTATCCTTTAAGAACTTGGTCCCGATTTATTCAAGTTGTTTTTGTCTGGGGGGGGGTGTTTGTACAGGGCAGGTTTACGACATTTCACCATTGTTGACTATTTACATGGAATCTTCTGATAGGGAAGAGGATCCACGGATGCTGTACTCCAGATGATCTTTATAGACTAGGAGAAGGCTTTTGACAGTGTAAACCATGCAAAACTCAGGAAGACACTCGAAAAGCCAGGCGTCAGAGGACAAAAATGTTAGATAATGTTAGAGCTCTGTATACCAACAGCAGAAGCTGAGTAGGAACGAAGGAAGGCAATACAGACTGGTTCAAAATAAGATCCAGAGTACAACTTGAATGCATTCTATCTCCCCTCCTGTTTATAATGTAATATGGACACAATAACGCAAGATGCAAACCAAAGCCCAGAAAGCCTAAATGAACTTCTATTCGCAGATAACCAATATCTTATTCATCCAAAACAACAAAGCCTCCAAAATCACACTACCGAACTAAACAACAGCTGCAAGAAATTTAACATGAAAATAAGCACATCAAAAGCAGAAGTTATGAAAGTGAGCCTTAACCGTAGTCCCCTGAACATCCATGTCAATAGTAAACAACTGAAACAGATGGAGGAGTTCAAATATCATGGCAGTACTTTTTTTTAAAACGGGTCCATAGACAGAGAAATAGAAATGCGACCTCAAAAAGCCAACGCTGTCACCTACCAGCTCGCACCCCCGCCCTCCATCTCATCCAAACATCTCCATGGACATAAAGAGACAGTTTATCACCGCAATATTCATATGCTACCAGTGCCAGACGTGGACATTAAGTAAAACCCATTAAAGCAAAATCACTGCATGTGAAATGAGATGTCTTCGCAGAACCCTTCACATCACATGATGAGACAGGCAGAGAAATGAAAAAGCAAGAGCAGCTATCAGCGTTGAGTCCTGCCTTCATTACATAGAGAGACAGAATAAAATGTTTTGGCCACCTGTTACGAACGTCATCTGGTCAGCCAGAGAGTTGGCTGTGCACTCAGGCTAAAAAGAAAGAGGAAGGCCATGCAAAAGGTGGATCGAGGGTTTCAAGGAAACACTGAAACATAATATGTGTCACGACATGGTGGAATCAGGCGCTCGTCAATATTTAGGCGTGTGGCGTTATTAGTATCATCTTAAAGCTTGGTTCAGTTGTCTTGCTATCAGTGAAAGAAATACTCATCTATCTTGAATAAAAGTTGAAATATTTGAGATTGAAGAATTTGGGGTTGCCTGGTAAAGTAAAGTTACTTAGAAAATGGCCGTCAAAGTATGCGTGACTTCCATAGCTCAAGAGTCATTGGAAACTGCAAATTTACATTTCCGTGCCTTTAATCAACTTTTTCCATAAAATCCACACATAAAAATGTTTTTGAATGGACATACAAGGCGTTGAGCAACAACAACAAAAAATTCCAAAGTGGCCGAAAAATGCCGATTTCTTGGGTTTCATTATTTTGACGAGCGCCTGATTTCACCACGATGCCTCACACATCACAACTGAAAGAGCTGCAGAGCTGGCCTACCGAAAAAAGCTGCATCTCCCCTCGACGCGTAACGGTAACAGAGGATGTAACAGTAAAGTAACATGGAATCTCTTTTTTTTTTTTTTTTTTAAAGATATATCATCATGTTGCCTTTTACAAGACAAATCCAATTTTCACTTCCTTTTTTCCATGACACACCGTAGCCTTTTTTTCAAAACTCCTGAACACGTCACCATTTTTTTAGGACATATCTGCCTGTCACCTCTGTTCAAGAAATATTTCACTTGATTTTTTTCAAATTATATCTACTACAAATGTCTGAAAATATAAAGATTATATGATAATAAATTATATTATATTCTTATATAAGTCCTATTTGATTTATATAAAGTAGTCTGAATTTGAGTTTTTACTTTTTTTAGATGTAACGAGCTCAAAGGTTGCCAATTCACTTATTTAAATGACTGGCGGACATGTTCTTATCTTCTAGACCTTCTGCACCCACAAATTCTATTCTGTTTCCCCCTCCAGAAATTTACCAGTGGTCCAATCGTGAACACAAACATCTGCTATATTGACCGCAAAGCGTCTCAGTGTGAAGATGTTGCCACCAATACCCAGGCAGAGCTGGCGAGTCTGTATGCCCACGTGCAGTCGCTTCCAGACACTCCGCACAATGTGAAACTAAAAAAACAGATCCAGAAAGGGACTACTACTCCGGTCAGCTCTAGCAAGAAACATCCAAGGAGTAAATCCATTGGCGCTTCCATTAAGGTGAGTGTTATCTTGGCCAGTTAGATACATGTATGTGTTTATTGACAGCAGTGGTGGTTTAATTTAAAAGATGGGGGGGGGAGGAGGGCACTGCAGGACATCACTTTTCGCCCGATTCTGTTACCTTTAGTGCGGGGTCACGAGTCACGGGGTTAATGAGCCCTGAAGCGACTTTGCCGGTGTTGGTTAAGAAATTCGCATTTTTGTCTACGTTTAAAACTATATAACTTCTTCCCCATTCCACACAGCAAACCATTACGCACATGTACTAAAAGCTCAATGTCTTGGGATTTATTCTGCGTTAGAATGGATAATTTCTGTGCCTTAGTTTTTGTTCTAGACAAGTGTAAAGTACCCAATTTGTCTATTTTAGTTACATACTTATGAATAAATGTTTGTTTATTTTAAAACGGCACGACAGACCTCTCGAAAATCTGTTTTAAACTGACCACGAATATCATGTCTTTTACTATGAGAAATCTTAAATCTGCGCGAGTAGTAATAGTCAAGTTATAAGAGAAGAAAGATGCACTTATCTGCATTTTTTAACTAAAGACACTCAGTGTTAGCTCTTTTTCTACCATTAAACAAGAGAAAGTTACTCTGCGTTCATGAATCATGCTGTGTCTGTGGCAGACTGCATACAACTAAGAAAGATATTATATATTATGATATTTTTTTAATGTGCAAAACTGTGTTAATACATGGGCAGAGATGAACTTCTTGAATGGAATAAAAATAATGACAGCTGACACATTCATTCTTAGTTTTTGTGCCTGGCATATGCGCGGACACTTATGAATGTAAAGAAATCAGAACATTGTCAGTTATTGCAAATGGTAATAGAAATGAAAATAAATGAATAAAAGCTGGAAAAGCCTGGTGCTGATTCGATGTCCCTGGAAAGCTAGAAACTATTCTTATAAATACACAAGTACGAGAAGTCATCCCTGTTATTCAGTCAAGTTATAAAACCTAGATCTAGCGTTTTAAGAAAAATGAGGAATAATTTATGGAGGTGTAACTGATAGCCTAATGTTCGTGTATTACATTGTTGTAGATGGATTCTGGCACTAAAATGGGTTTGTACTTTTCCATAGAGCGACATCAGGATAATTTTGATAAACTTTAGAAAAAATATGCGAATATTCTCAATGATTATATTAGGCACATAAAGTTATATTGGAGGAATTGCTTCATAGCGAAGTGTGTGCCAGATGAATAAAGTTGCAAAATTACAGCTTTCTAATATACCCGCAGATACCATCTTTTCTGAGTATCTGCACCTATATGTTATGTCGTTCATGTTTCCCATAACCAGACAAGTTAAAACTTCCGTTGTGTTTTTGGGTCTCAAGAGCAGAAGTGCGTGCTTTAGGTGCATTAAATGATAATTACCATAAATGCAGGGATACACCTAAAACTGTATGTTGAAAAGTACCAAAAATTAAGTCAGACAGGGAGTTGCCCCCCCGTTATCCCGACGTGATAAAGCGCTCAGGGGGGGTGGGGGGGTTCCCCAAACAACTAAAATTCCACTGCGGGTGACTGAAACTCGAATTCCGTTGAAAATGTTTTGACCAAAGAAAAGTTTGTCGTACATGAAAGGAAGGGCTCAGAAAATGGAACTTTAATAATTTTTCTTAGAATTGCTGTTCAATTTTCTCATTCCGTTTTTTTTTTTTTTTTTAAATTACATATGATATGATCCTTTTCAAGATTCAGCATGTTTATCTTTTCCCCTTTCAGAAACGGCTTCCGAATTTGGGTAGCACAAAGAACAAGAACACAGAGTTCTCTGTACTTGGCAGCGCCAGCAGTTCTGCCAGCAGTGAGGATAGCTTGGTGAGTGTCAGTGGCTTGTTTTTCTTCAGCAGATGGTTAATGATGTTTTCTGCTCTTTTCCTCAGTGTCTCTTATCCTGATTTGATCCTAGTGAAATGTGTCCGTCATGTGGCTCATCATGCAGCTCAATATTCAGACCTGTTAGGCTCTCGGACTCGCAACCATAAGGTCGTGGGTTCGAATCCGGTCAGGGGCCCGACGTTGTGTCCTTGGGGAAGGCACTTTGCACCAATTTTCCTCACTTCACCCAGGTGGAAATGCGCACCTAGCTATAGACAGTGAAAGATCTTGTCAGTTTGATAGTGTTTGAGCGCGTGAAATCCGCAGCTTGCACTGTATGCTTCCGCGGAAGCTGAGAATGTTTCTGAGTGTTTTCAGAGGGTTTGCTGGGGTAATAATAGTTGTGAAGCACATAGAGCAAGCTCTTGAGCATGGATTTGCGCTATATAAATGCAATTATTATTATTATTATTATGTGGTCTGTGGTGTGTATGTGGATGTATATACTGCACAGACCATGCTATTACTGGATGCCTGCTTTTGTGGGGGGGGGGGGGGGGTTCATTCTGTTTTTTCTCCATGTTGGTTGTTAGAGGGCAACACAATCTGATGTATCATGCTGGGCTATGGTTCAGAAAAGAGTTTATTATTTACAAGCGAGACTCACACTCATAACTTCAATTTCCAGTCTGATGAGTGGGTTTGCTAAGCTTTTTCATTCCTTCTGACATATCTTCTCTGAATCTGGAGTCATGATGGGGGGCCAAGTCTTTGCATTCAGCATAATGTTTTGTCGATATGAAATAAAGCTTCAGTAATAAAAAAAATTTTAAACCCTCTGCACAACCCAACTTGTTACCTTTCTGAAAGTTTACTGTGCGCTCGCCGAGTCCAGAAAGTTTAAAAATAGGTACATTTTCAGAAAATTCATGGACTAACAAGATTATAGGAAGTAGATCTGACACTTCTTTTTTCCTCCCTATTCCTCTAACGACACGTGCAAAACAATAGATTGAAATAACATGCTCCGTCTCAACGTCTGATTGTGTCGAAACTAAGTATTTATGAAACGGCCAATGCTTTGTAAATGGCCAAGCAAAATTATGCTTATTTTTATCTTTATCATTTTTGTATAATCGTAAGCTTTTATACTGGCTCTTCAATATTTCAGATAACTGATTTTTGAGCAGTACTTTTAGCCTTTTAGATCAGGCCTACAGGTCTATTTAGGGGGCTCTCATGGCCTAGAGATTAAGATGTTGCATAGCTGCCACTTTCCCGCTAAATAGCGGAAACTCCGCTACATCTAGCGTTTCCCTCAACTTTCCTCCTTCCTCCGCTGGACCGCTCTTGGTCGCAAATTTCATACTTTTTTTTTTCCACGCGGAAAACACCGAACCGGGAGAGAGACGAAAACGCGGTTCGCGCATGTCCGCCGTAGCTTTCTACTTCCATTCTTCTAGGCCCAGCGCTAGTTTCACATTGTTTATTGTTGTGGAGCAACACAGTGTCGATCGGGCATCGGGACGTTAGCGCGCCGAGTTGTCATTGAAATTGGCGGAAATTCAAGAGAAATTGATTCAGAATGCAAAAATAAAAGGCGCTGGAATGAGAAAGAAGCAGCCGGTGTGCGACTTGAAAAGTTCATTAGAAAATTGAACTAGATCTAGCCGTTTTTTGCGAAAGAAATCGCGGCCCGCGGCACTCCTGTGCCTGTGCAATTGCGGTCCCGTTTGTTTACATGACGGCTATTGTGGCTGCTGCGGAAGTGAATCTAGATCTAGATCTAGAAAATCTATCTCTAGATTCTAGATATAATCTAGATCTACACATGTTTAGATATATGATATCTAGATCTAGATTAGATAGCCGAGGCTATAATTTTAATTCAGTTTATCTCTAAATAAGAAACACACTACAGGGGCACTAAGTGCAAACGGGACCGCAATTGTACAGGAGTGCCTGTGTATCCTTGATCCGATACTGCTCTACGTCTATGTATGTACACGTTTAAAGTGAAAGAAATCTTTTTATGAGACACCAGCTGGCAAAAAACACTAGATTTTTAGTCACCAAGTCCAAACTGTGTCAAATTGACTCGAATGCTTGTTAGTCAACTTACTGCCTTTATGTTGTTTTTTTTGGTCAAATACATTTTAATTCAGTTGCCTATGGTTAACAATATGACAGTTTTCCCTTCCAAAACCGTGGGCTAGATTTTCCAGTATATATTGCCTCTGGATCTCACTGGTTTCGGAGAGCGCGCGTACGCCTTCGCGTGAATTTCCTCCTTTTTATAAATTTCTGAGTGGCAGCTATGATGTTGGCCCCTCTTTCAAAGGTCCCAGGTTCGAATCTGAGTAGCAATCGAAAAATTTACTTCTCTAAAACTGTCTCCTTTCACCTTCTTTCATTCTCTCTTGCAATATTCTGTCGTCTTCTTTCGTCTCCAATGTCTTCCCCCACCCCTTCACCCCCTTTGCCCCCTCCACTGGGCTCCTGACTCTTTCTGCAGCCTTTCTACTGCTACTCCTTTTCCCCTTCTTACTGCTGTCTTTCAGCCACTCCCCTGATCTTCCGGACGGAAAGATCTACACCTAGCCTTCTCAGACAATGGCGAAAAATCTCAGAGGACTGTGCAAGTTGCGCACGTTAAAGATCCCTTGGTGGTCCAAAATCAATAAGAGTAGGCTTCGGACGCCACGCAGGCAAAATTCAAAATTTCCTACCAAATGAAAATGTTTGGTGTGTCACTCGCGTTCATGTGACCTTATGCAGTTGCGAGCTCCGTGCCGCAAAACGCTTACACCCCCCCCCCCCCCCCCAGGGCGATTTTGCCATCAAAATGTGACTTTTTAAAGGGCATCTACCTGGGTCAGTCACACAGGAATAAAGGAATATGATATATGTGTGCAAGTAACTGGTAGAACAGATTTTTCTTTGGTTTTATTTTTATTTTTTGTCATTGTTTTAAGAAAGTTTTCCTGGTCAATGTTGTTTGTAACATTTTTTTTCTTTTTGTGAGCTTTTAAATAGTTTCGAATTCGTTTTTTGAGACACCTTTTGATTAATTTTATGGATGGTGTCTATAATGTTGGGTTTTTTTTAATGCTGGCCATCATAACAATATGGTCGTGGAGCCTGGACTTTTCTTATATTGTTATGAATTCTGTGTTGTATTTCCATCTTACATTGCTCCCCAATGCTAGATGTAGACCATCCATTAAGATCAAGCATCAAGTCTTGTCATCTTTTGCAAATCGTCCGTTCTTGCTCGCATATTTCTGTTCTTGTGGCTTTTTTAAAAATTGATTCTCCGGTGCATTGTGTTCTAGGGTGTTTACGTGATGAGTTACAAAAGTAATGATCAAGTTGCGGTTGTGCACTGCGCAGAGCTGGACTTGCGGGCTGTCAAGATACCTCTGGTTAAAAGACTAGACTTCTCCAACATGCAGGATACAGTAAGGCTGACTGACCACTACTACAGCCCCCTTCCTTTTTTGCATATTGTAGCTGCATCTGCTCCATTTTCCTTTTTTTTATGATTCTCGTATATATGTCGTAGAGCTTTTCAACCTTTTCAAAGCACAGAGTAATTCCTATCATTTTATCTTCAGCACTTACAAATTATTATTGTGTTTATATAATGAGGCTTTTTCTAACACTTTTGGACTAAAAGTAAGTTAGATTCAAATCACTTCATGTTGTCAGAATGTGTATTAAACAATATACAATCAAAGTACAGGATTGCAAAAAGAAAAGTTTTATGCTTTCATTATTTTCTTGTCATACGAAGTAAATGATAAAATGAAGGCAGTCACAAATGGAATTCATAATGACATAATGTGTACTCTCTCTCTCTCTCTCTCTGAATAGTTTTGGTGTTTCTCCCTCCTTTCTGCTAGAAATTTTTAAAAGATTTATGACCATGAATTGTTTCTTCATATTTAGACAGAAGTTCAAATTAAGTTTTCCTTACTCTTCAGTAGATCAGATACCAGTAATATTATGACTTTTTTTTTTACCTGGAAAAAAAAAGAATCTGATGGAAAAACTAGCTGCTGGTTTTCAATGCGTTTTTAAGTAACCGAAAAAGCATCTCCCCTTCTACAGCTAGCATCAATGGTTTTGATGGCTGATGCCTCTATAAATAAATCATTGATGGTCAAGGTAAGGCATCAATGGTTACAAGCTGTGCTCTCATAAGTTTTAATTAAGTTAATAAGTTATTGACTGTTGAAATTAGGCTGGAGATGTGATTCAATTATAGAAAAAGGAATACATGTATTTGTACAGGATGTCTTAAAAAAAAAAAAAGAAAGAAGACCCACTTAACGGGCAATAACTCAGTCATCTTTACACTTAATTTCAACAAAGATTCGAACAAATAAAATTCAACCGGGGGGGGGGGGCATACTTTATTTTACTTCACTTTTATCTGCTGTTTATACCCTTTTGGGTGTCGCGGCAAGAAAGAGAAGTCTCTCTGCCACCAGCCGGAGAGCTTGGGTCAGGGTGATGCCGTGAGTTGTTAATGTTTCCCTGACTCCATCTATCTATCCTCTGGCCTTGTTTCCAACAAATTTTTTTATGTAGGCACGTTGTGCTGGGTGGTGTGTTTGTAATCGCACGAGATGTCCGAACCATTTGATTCTTTGGTGTTGGATGTGATGCATGACATAATTTGTGCTCACCATTTCTCCGATTACTGTGTTTCTAATTTTGTCTCGCCTGGTCTTGTTTACTGCTTTTCTAAGGCAAAACTTTTGTAAATGTGAAGAAAATCTATCAGCATGTTAGAAAAATATCAAGTTAAAAAAATCATATGTCAGCCACAATTGAGTAAAATGGGTAAAATGCAAAATTTTATTCATGGGGGGGGGGGGTTACACCTCAGCTTTCTTTCTTGTTTGTGGATCAAATTTCACACATATAACAAACATAGTGAGGAGTCTTCAAATCCACAGTCAAATTTTAGCCAAAAAAAATGTTTTGTTGACATGTCTTATAAAAAAATAATATCTAACTAAACTTATTTTCAATGAAAATAGGTTGTGATTTTTGCGTGCAAACAATAACTCTACAGAGCTGTTTGTTGAATTTTTCATAAACGAATTAGAATCTTTTTCTTGAGGTGGTACAGTCCATGCCGGCTTTAAGCATGGTCATCGGGAGAAAGCTTAAGCGTGCTTAAAGCCGAAGCGTGCTTAAGTGCGAAGTAGACATAATCCAGGGATTTTCATGTAGAAAATTCCTCATGCGATTTCCCTTGGTTTGTAAGTAGGCCTACCCGCAAAAGTGTGCACTGTTATTTAGACACCCGCCATGATAGTTTTTGTTCGCTTCTTTGTTTTTGTTTTGTGGTCGAATGGGAAATGAAAACTTAATTTAGACGGCTAGTCACGATACGGCACACTAGGCCTACTGTAACACACTGCCTGTGTGTACCACTGCCCGCTGTGCCACTCATACCGCCGCCTTCATCTCACCTCGCGCGTGATACACAATCAGGATTAATGGATATCGAGGGTCAAAGGTGAAATCGCAGCCAGCCTCCCTTTCTCGTCTCTCCGATTCTCTTTGTATTTTTTTTTGGTCGTGTGTAGCTTTGCCCTAGGCCTAGGCTAGGTCCTATGTCCGCGCGCACGGCTGTGTACACCTCTCTGCCTTCCTCTCCGCCCGTGTGAGTGTGTGTGTCCATCACTTGCGTTCTTTGTGTTTCTCTTGACACACTCCACTGTTGCGTTGTAGACTGTGTTCGAACTTCAATGGATCATCATGAAAATATTGACTGTCTTGTAAATGAAGCATGCTTGAAGCCGAAGTTACCGTGCTTAAAGGCGTGTAATTTATCTAGCAAAAATTCGGTAAGAGCCGTTTAGCGTGCTTGAGTCCGAAACGTGCTTATGGCCGGTGTGCTCCTTCTTTCCTCTTAAACATCTATCGTCCCATTCTCTCCTCCTTCCTTTTTTATGTTTGTTACTCTCTTGTAACACCTCTAATCTTCGGCACTTATATGACCTTATTGTGTTGCAAGTGCCGTAAAACTCTTTACTAAACTAAACTAAACTAAAAGCCGGCACGGACTGTATTCAAGGTTGCAAAAAACAAACCACCGACAAAAATCTATTCCATATTGAAAATTCAACAACCATTGTATAGTGTTACATCTTCTCTTCACTCTGTAAAAATATGAAGATTGGTGGATATAAATTTGACTATTATAAAAAAAAAAGTGTATATAGTATAGCATTTTCAGAAAATGGACAATAACCCAAAAAAGAGGGACTTTATAAGGATTTTGTGGTCACTAACATGCCTTATATTTGACAAAATAAGGCTTTAGGGGGTGTTGAAATAGTTGTAAGAGTGACATAATGCGTACTCTCTCTTTCTGAGTGCCAAAAATACCTACGTCTCAAAATCCTCATATTTGACCCAAATTTCCCCAGACGTCCGACTTTGATTTTTTAAATAGATTTATAGGGATATCTGCATGCTTGCCTTTGATCATTTTGGTGGTACCCGCTTTCTTTCCGCTCGAGACCTGCTTGCACACATATGCTTGGGCAAGGGAATTTCTGCCTGTCAGTATATTTCTTGATCTATTGCGTTGCCAGAAATATAAAACTATGGGCTTGTCATGAAAAATCTCTCATACCATACCTATACAAGTATGTCTGCACTCTATTAAAAGATCAGTGTTTCTTCTCTTCCCTATTTTGGTGGATTCCCACTGTTTTGATATTTTGTGGGCAGGAAACCAGTTTCAGCCCCAACTTGGTTCTCGTGTAGTAGAAACAACAACACCACGCCCCTCAAAATCGATCATACAGTGTTTCCATTTCCATGTAAACTTTCTGTTTTTAAGTCTTATGCTTGGCTGTTCTGTGTTGGAGTCTGTTGGTTGCATCTTGCTTGCTTTATCCATTGTACGACAAGCTTTTGCTTTGGCCTTAGATCAAAGTACCAGTTTCCACTTTTTCATTGTATCTGAGGTTCATTATTTGTTGATTACTGTATGAATGACCATAAAAAGATGCAATGTGTTTTGAATGAAGAAAAGGCATCACCATATACAATAAATTTGCAGTAAAGCTGAGTTACAGCATAATTTGGACCTGGACTTTGTTTTTATGCTCTACTGTTTTCATGTTCAGATTCTACCACCAGAGTTTATTTTGGTAGCAGCTATTTCCGTATAGCTGATGTGTTTTGACTACTTTTTGTGCATTGTTCCTCAAATATAGTTAATTAATCTACCCACTCACACCCCTTTTCCCCCTCTCGCCCACTACTTCTAGAGAGATTCTTTTTTAAAGAAAATTATTTTATTGTTTCAAGTGAGTATATCTTTATTTCCTTTCTATACAAGACTTGAATGTTTTACTTTTTAACGGTAACACCCCCCCCCCCCTAATTTTTTTTTCAGGTGATTACCCCTGCCATGTCCAACTTGCTCAACTCGCCAACTACCACAAAAATCAGAGGTGCTTTGAGGGAATCTCGGCCTCGTCAGAAAAGGAGTCACACTCAGTGTGGACAGGGCACATCTGACTGTACACCTCCGAAACTCGAATGTCGCCCAAAGAGCATGGATGCCATGGCCTTGTCTCCCAAAGAAAACATCCCACCGCCAGTGCTTACCTCCAGCACACACAAAGATTCCTCCAGGATGGTTTTAAAACCGAGAGCCTCTGCTTTGCCAAGCTGTAATTCAGACACCCAGGCAGCAGCCATGCTGCAGGACATAAATGACAAAAGTGCACCGGAGAAGGCCCAAGCTGTTCTGAGAAAAGAGGGTCCAAAGCGTGCTGACTACTGTGATATCCACCTGCCCATCAGTGCAACAACTTTGTGCATTTCCCAAAGCCAAATGGCTGTTGCAGAGAAAGAGATCTCATACCTGCCTTATCAAGCCCCCAGCGGGGTCATCAGGCTGCAAACCCCAGAGCGAGAGAATGCGAGGGCTGTCAATGACGCACCTCTCCGCAAGTGCAACGGTGCAGGGGTAAGATTTGTGTCAGAATAATAGCATTTTCCGTATTTCCCTTTTGCAAACTTCTTTATTGTTTGAAAAGAATCCACTCCATCTTACAATTATTGAATTTACGCTCATTTTTCATCCTGTTGCAGCTTCTTAACCCTTTAAAAAAAATTTACTCCACCTGATATGAATCAAATTAAGTATTCTGATGTAGTACATTCCTTCTAATAGTTTTTCTATGGTCTTACTATCCTAATCTATTTCCAGATCAAATGTGGCTATTTTCAATGTACATAACGGCAACTTGCCGAAAACCAACAATTTAACTAATTTTCCCTTTTTAGCCCCTTTTGATTTGAAATAAACATTGTAGTCATCAAGGGTTCTGTCCCAAATATGATTACAAGACAAAAGGGATGTGCATCATACAAATTTGTTGATGGCAGTAGAGAATTTTTTAAAGTCTTTAACAGGCTGAGTTGTTTTTTTCCACTTTTTTGTAATTTTTTTGCAGAACTCACAATTGCATAAGGTCATATAATCTCACAGGACACAAGTAGGTTGTTTCCACCTTTTGATTGGATTTAATTTTGAATTTTGCTCAGGTGGCAGCCAAAGCCTACTCTTATCAATTTTAAGACCAACAAGGGATCTTTTACATGCCCATTTTACACATGGGACAGCCAAGATTTTTTCACCTTAATCCAAGAAGGCAAGGTGTTCCATTTTACATACCCTGACATCAGGGGAGTGATTGAAAGACAGCAGTAAGAAGGAGCCAGGAGTAGCAGTAGAAAGAGTCAGGAGCCTGGGGGGATGGAGATAAAAGTAGGTGAAAGAACATGACTAGCGAGCAGAGAAGGAGCATAGCAGAATGACTTATGGGAAACATCAAGACTGAACAATATTTTGAAATAAAAAATTTTCATTGTCTCTCTTCGTTTTCACCTGATCACCTTTCCTCGCATTTTTTAGTGAACTTGTTTCTTTTTTGTTTTTCTCCAGACGCCTATTGTGAGACGTACTTTGTTGCAACTTTCCGTAAGCTCAAACTTCGAGACAACCATTTGAAACCACACCTGCCGAATGCACAATGAAGGGGAGCAGACCACAGCTGACTGAATGAATAAACAAAGTTAATTCCATAACCTGTGATATTTTTTGATAGACGCTCTTGATACAAGAAGAATCAGTGAGGTGGACGTGTTTGACTTCTTACAGACGCATCTTAATTCTGTTTGATGGTTACGCACTTGAGTATATATCTTTCTTGAAATAGCTCCTGTTCTGGTTTTGGTGACATTCAAATCTGTTGAGTAAACTCACATTTCATACACATTCAAACAGCACAAGATGTGTTTACTTCATTTGGCAAGGAAGAGGATTTTGAAGGGCCAGTCCTAGAGATGGATTTTGGTCAAGACTAGACAACTCGAGCTGATTTTCTCAGCATGTGGAATTTTATTGCCTCTTGTCCTTCTTTTAGACTGGAGGAGGTTCAAGGCAGTTCTGTTTATCCTTTGACTACATGAAGAGGCATCCCTTTAGTGAGGCTGCAAAAGTGAGATTGCTTGGAATGCCTGACTGCTTTTCATGGGAAGAAGTGGTTGAAGTTGTTCAATTTGTGAGCCTGGAAGTCCCAGTGATAAATGACAATGCAGGTGAAATGACATTACAAAAATTAATTTTGTTTTATTGTGCAAGCTTTTAGGGCTTGCAAGTGGTCCCGTCCTTGTATCCTAGTCCAGTGGCTTTTTTATTGTTTGTTGGAACATTTGCGTATGACATTTTTTGCTTTGACAGTGAAATATTGCTCAAATATTGCTCCAAGTGTTAATTAAAACAATTTTCGTAACATGCATGTTTTTTAAAATTGTTATAATCATTCCTGTGTGTGATTACTTCCAGGTTCCAGTCTTCCTCTCTAAACAATGTTTCCCCTGTGCCAGATGCACAAGATCCAGACTTAAGATAAGATAAGATACCTCTTTATGAGCCAGATTCTGGCACATCGAATTGGTGTTTCACCACGTACACACACACGCACACTCATACACACACATGTGCACACCCATATACACACACACTCTTCCCTCCCACATCCTCTCTTGCACACACATCTGTGCACATAACCATAATAGTACATGGCCTAAACAGTAACAAAATAGCCAGCTGCAAGCACCTATTTATTTGTGACATTTTGCAAGTTACAGAATTTTAAAAAGTTAGAAACTGTAGAAATGGTGGAGAAAAAAATACTCGATCCAATTTTCAAGATGGCCACCATTTCCATGGCAGCGGCTTATGTAATCAAGTGTGTCAACAGCTGTACATGAATCTTTTGTCTCATACTTACTGCCTGTGACAAAAGCTGATTCGTTTTGCCTTTAGTTAAAAATGTTGTCTCGTAAGTTCAAGGTCCCTTAAGACATTTAGTTGACATATGTTTTAATTGGAAAGTTTAGTGATGAGGTAAAAACCCAAAACTATTAGAACATTATTTCATCTCTAAATCGTGCTGTTTTAGATATGGCAACTTTTGCAGTTGCAGTATTCCAGCTTTTTCTCATCATTCTTTCATAGAAAGAATTTAATCGGAAGAAATAGAACTCAGTTCTTGAATTTGAAAAAGTGATGTAAAAAGCTTTTGTTTTAGTACTTTTTGAATTTGTTTTAGTACTTTTGAAAATCTCAATAGTGGGCCACCAGTGTTCTGTAAACATAACCCGTACGACAATTAAAACCTGTGTTTTATGTCTTGTTATTCGCAGGTCTTGTCGATGGATGAATTCATCTCTTTATTTCTTTTTCTATTGATACAGGTTTCACCAATCTGTCTCTTGTAGTAAGCAAACAATTGTTAACTAAAGATTGTGACCTGTGGCATCTTGCGCACACTGAAATTTCCCTTAGCTGTGGGGCACATTATAATTATCAGTCATGGGGTCAATGAGCTTGTGTACTGCTTTTTATCATGAGTTTACTTTGTTTAATCAATTTAATAGTTTTCTCAGTTTGACATTAAGAGTTTACAACTTTGAGTTCTTTGTTTTGTCATAAGCACTTGTTTGTGGTTCCTCAGTTCTAGTTTCTAACAATATTTTAAGAATTACCTTGCTTTGCTTAGTTTAGTCAAAAGAATGTTTTATGAGATGTGAAGCCTTTTAGAGAAATAAATTAAAGTGTCCAAATTACTGTTATTTTATAAAAAAAGAGGTGTACATTAAAACATTTGCTTCTCTGGATTTTGTTGACATGCCTTACGCAATGAATACTGCACTTATTTTTCATGGAAATATGTTGTTATTTTATATGCATGTTAGCAAACGATAGATCTACAAATTTGTCTTTTGAATTTTTTGTAAGTGCTTTAGAACATTTTTTGTGAAGTTTTTTCATGAGGTAGCATTCAACTTTGCAAAAAATCAGTGAAAATCCATACTCCAGATATCACTAACGAAAATTGATTCCATATATTGAAAATTCAACTGACAAATTTCTGCTCTTCATTCTGTGAAAAGTTCATGAAAATTGGATGAAAAATGATGGAGTTATTCAAAAAAGTAAATAGAAAAACTGCGTCTTTGAGAAAACAAGCAATAAAGATGAATAAAAGATTGACTTTATGAAGAAAAGATGGTGACTAACATGCCAGGTATGTGAAAAAAATAAGGCTTTAGGGGGTTCTTATGCCATGAAATGGTTGTAAGAGAGATATATATAATATATGTGTCACGACGCAGTGGAATCAGACGCTCGTCAATTTTTGGGCATGTGGAGTTATTGGTATCATCTGAAAGCTGATTTATTTGCCTTGCTGTCAATGAAATAAATATCCATTTATCTTGAATAGAAGTCATAGATATTTGCGATTGAAGGAAGTGAGGTCGCCTGGTTTCAATGGTGAAATTCGCGAGAAAATGGATGCCAAAGTTTGGTAACTCCAATAGCTAAAGAGTCTTTGAAAACTGAAAAATTACATATTTTGAGCCTTTAATCAATTTTTTTCCGTAAAATTCACATGGAAATTGTGTTTTTTTATGAAGATAAAAGAGGTTAAGCCAAATAGAATAACAAAATTTTCCAAACAGGCGGGAAAGTGCCTGTTTCTCCCATTTCGTTATTTTGACGAACACCTGATTTCACCACGCTGCATATAGGTGGGGGTTTCTTTATGTACCTTACAAAATCCTTTCCTATTCCATTAAAAATGGCTTTGAAATTTGTATAGGTTGTGCTTAATATGATGTTTTATCTGTGGGAGCCGACAAATAGCAGTCAGGCCATCAAAAGAAATCTTGCAAATATTTTTAGTTCTCAAATCGATGTATTTTTAGAATGCAAAATGTGACACGTCAAGTTCGTACTTTTTCTTTCATCAAGTACAACAATGAAATAAATGCTGAGAAACTCGTTCTTCTACATTTTTACTACTATAACTACATTATTTGTGGTGCTATATTAGGAATATCTGTAGCTGTTTTTTCTTTGTGAGCCTTGTAGATTTTGATTTTGGAGCATAACTCTTGGTGTCATTTCACAAGGTAACTTCGATTCCTTGTGACTTCATTTCTTTTGGCCATTTTGTGGCCCCAGAAAGAGCATAGTGTCGTTCAATGTTTACTCTCTGCCTCAACTGATTCCGAGGCTGTGACCGTGCGTAATTTTGCAGTAAACGGATTTCCCTCAATGCCTTGTGCTCTGTCATTTGTTAAGCTCAAAAGAACAAATTACAAAACAAGAAATAATAGAGGTGGAAGAACACGCATTGTTCCTGTCGTCCATTCAAAGCGTATTGTTGTACTATGCAAGACGACGAGAAGAATAACGATGGATGAGACGATTTCATTTAAGTTTTATTAAATTGTCATCAAATCTTAATATGTTATGTTTGAAGAAAGCTGATGTGTCCGAAAAATGTTTTCCCCCATTTAATTAAATTTAAACAAGTTATGATTAACATCGCACTGCGTTCCAATAGTCAAGTAGTGGTAGGTCTAGATGCAACCATGTGTGCTTGGCTGGTCTCAACTGGAGGGGAAAAGTTTATGCAAATTGACAGTGTGTTCCAAAATGATGACAAACATTTATCCATTATGTGTCATCAAGGTTATGTTCGAAAAATATTTGGTATTTTTCATAAATCAAAGTAAAATGTGAATAAAGTGGCATTTTTTCCCGGTAAGCATGCATTATAAGTCAAACTGAATCTCCTGAATCTTTGTTTGCCAAAATTTAAAAGAAATTAAGATATATGAAAATGGTGCATTTTTCATTTCTTTCGGATATAACTCTGATGACACAAATGCGAACACAACGACATTCAGAATCTTTTTTCTGTGATAATCACCATTTTATATGCTCTTCATGCTTACATTTGAAAATCAACGCAATGAGAAAACTATTAAAATAATTTTATGTTCCATAAATTACTTATCAGGGTACTTTTCATTTTGTGTCATGATTATGTTCGATTTGATATTTTGCAGACATTGTGAAATGTGACTAAAGTGGCATTTTTTTTTTATCATTAACATGCATTGCGAGTCAAATTGAATCTTCTGATTCTTTATTTGCCAAAATTTTGAAAAAAGAAGTTAAGGTATGAAAATGGACAGTTTTTCAATTCTTTCGAACATAACTATGACACAAATGCAAACGCAACTGCATACAGAATTTCTCTTTTCTATGATCCTTCCTTCCTTCCTTCCTCTGGCTGGTCTCCGCTAGCCGCAGGCAGACAGGTAAGAGGCAACCTCGTGTGGCCTCATCCAGAGTACATCTGGGCCCGGTCTTGCGTTGTTCTCCGTAAGTGGGCCTCGATGTGCTTCCCCCCGTTGGCACTCAAACAGTGCTTTCTGCAGGTGATCCTCACTCTTTTATGTGCTCCTCATGTTTATGTTTGAAAATTATAAAAATGATTTTGTATGTTCCAATTCTAAAAAATGTGTCATCATAGTTATGTCCGAAAGAAGTTGACTTGATGTTACGTAACGTCAGTTACACAGCTTAGCATGCCACCTGTAGGTCTATAAATACATGTTTTTGCAGGAGGAGGTATACATGAATAGAACAATTCAAGTAAAAACAAAATATTAAAAACTTCATCATCGACCCTCTGTGCTACATTTTAGGTACCCACCGTGGCGTCGATGGCCTAGTGGTTAGGCTCTCGGACTCACAACCGTAAGGTCATGGGTTCGAATCTCGTCAAGGGCCCGACGTTGTGTCTTTGGGAAAGGCACTTTACGCAAATTTTCCTCACTTCACCCAGGTGGGGATGGGTACCCGGCTATAGACAGCGAAAGATCTTGTCAGTTTGTTAGTGTTTGAGCGCTTAATAGGCTGCTCGCACTGTATGCTTCCCGGGAAGCTGAGAATGTTTCGGAGTGTACTATGGTCTGCTGGGGTAATAATATAGTGTAAAGCGCATAGAGCCTGCTGTTGAGCGGGGATATGCGCTATACAAATGCTATCTATTATTATTATTATTATTGGAAAAGGCTCGTATATATATATAATATATGTATATGTACGTATATATTTATATACAGTGGAACTCGGATTCAACGAGGTCGCCGGGCCTGACCTAAAATCTCGTTGAATCCGAGTATTCGTTATAGCAAACATGAGGTTTTGTGTTGATAATTACAGGCACTGAGTAAGTAATGTATACAGAGAAGGAACAAGTAGTGCTTGAAATTCCTGCATATTATGAGCTGTGTAAAAAGACCAAGTCGTTCAAATACACGCCTGTGTCATCTCGATTGTTTACCAAAAAGTTGTGTTGCTGCGTAGAGCCTAGCATACGGCAACTTTTAAATTTCTTTCCATAGACCAGCACATAATTCATTACGTAGATCTACCTCAAGACTAGCTTATCATTGTAATATTGATCAGTTGCTAGGGGAAAAGAAAGACAGTGACACGTTTGTATCTGCGATGTTCAACGCCCGGACTCGCACACACAGCCACACGTGTGCAGGCCACCCATCCGACCCCGACACACGCTAGAGTAGACACGTGCGCGTGCCAACAACGCATGTGTTGGTATGAAAGAAGGCCGCTGATTGGTTGCATCCAATCGTCTAAGTCAATAATGGTTCACGATGCTGGTGCAATAGATGGTTTCCAGGAAGAGATAAAGTTCGTTGTGGGAGAAAAATGAGCGAAGCCACGTCTGATGGGGCTGTTCACCCTGGAAGCGACCTCGTTGAATCCAAGCTCACTGATTTAAGTTCTCGTTGAATCAAGGTTATTGTTATTGATTTTAAAGAAGGAAAAAAAACGGGGAATCCATCTCCTCTCGTTGAATCCGAGCTCGTTAAATCCGAGTTCCACTGTATGTATATTTATATGTATGTATTACATTTTATGTCCGTGCGGGGTTGGCTGGTGCTCTGGTGTGGTTTGCTCCTTCTTTCCTATCAAATATCTGTTGTCCTGATCTTTCCTCCTTCTTTTTTATGTTTGTTACTCTCTTATAACACCTCTAATCTTCGGCACTTATTGTGTTGCAAGTGCCGTAAAACTCTTACTAAAACTAAAACATTTTATGTCTTGAATTCTGATTTTATAGCTGGCCACACATTTTGCTGAAATGCTTCTTGATTGTGGACTGTTTTTTGTTATTATTGATATGTCCTCGGTTTAGTCTAAAATTTGTTTTAAAGTGTTGAGAAGAGAACCATTGGGTATCATGAAACTTGATCTAGTTTTTTAAAACGTGTAGAACTCTTGAAATTCAAGTGGAAAACAGGTTTAACAGAAATTAATCTCTATTCTACCTTAATCCTGGGGTGGGGTAGAGGTTGGGGGGGGGGGGCATATTTTATAATACAATCTCTGAGTGCTTCAAATTGTTCAGATTTGTCAGATATGTCGCTGGTTTTCTTTCAGACATCAGTGATTGGGGAAGTCATTGTTGCAGGACATATACTAACATTTCAGACATGAGCAAGGGGAGGTGTCCTGAGCTGAGTTTTTTGGGGGTTTTATAATCATGTTTTTATAGAAGACAGACATGTAACTTCTTGAAATACCCGGTGAAAGGGAATTTGAAGTCGAATTTTGATTTTCAGTCATATTTAGTTGTTGATCGACAAGGCAGAATTATTGTAAATTGTAATGATCACATTTTCCCAATTCGACTACAACAGGCCCACCAAGACTTTTTTGGTCATCCCTTTAT